CTGGCAGAGTGTTCTTCTTCTGTACAACTTGTATTTCCTTCTGACTAATTTAGAACTGGAAAAAAATAAGCTTAACACTTCCTAACTTGCTCCAGTGAATGCCCTTTATGAACTATATATATTAGGCAATTTTCTGTAGGAAAAGAAACCCTCCTTGGATCCACAGTAAAGAAATTTAGCAAAAAAACTAACCTTTGGAAGCAAAGACACAGAAGATTATGTGGTAAACTGAACATAACATGGACAGTAATGAATTTTTATGTATGGAGCATTAGTTAAGATGGGACAAGCATTTACTTTTGCCAGTATTAATAAGTTATACTGATTAATCATTTGTGCATCTATTTGTTAAAAGTCAATCTTCCTTCTTTTATCACTTTGATACCAGTTGCTACTACATTCAAAAGTGGTCTTCAGAATGGTCTTCTCTTTCCAGAAATCCTTTCTTTTATAAATTCTATTCTGAAAATACATTTAACCACCATTAACATATTGAAATAACTGAAGTTAAGACCACTTACAATCTACTTCTTGTGTATGAAGTTATAAGCTTTATTTACAGCTAAACAAGTTAGTTTCGAGGTGCTGAAACTAAGAATATTTTAGATATATTAAGTATGGAAAACTCTGTACTGCAATTCCCACAGAAATTCCCACCCTAGTAACCTTGGACTCTTTGCAAAGTTTAATACACTAAATATATTGTTCAAGTAATGAAAATTGGATTTTTAACAAAGAGGTCTTACAGAAATCTAATCCACACTATTGTTTTACTATATATGCTTCTCTAAAGACTAGGCAAAAACATGCTGAAGTTATTAGAATAATAAATGAGTCTCCTAATTTCAGATCTAATAACAAATGGACTTTGTCCTGAAGATGAACTTTTCCCCATCTTAAGCAAAAACATAAAATTTAAGAGTTACAACTAGCTATATTTCCACTGTATATATGCCAACATATATTCAAGGACAGACTTAGAAGATTTGAAATCACTGTCCTAGCTGGAGAGTCTTTACAGCAAGATGGAAAGCTGAGGTTTGCTGTGTATATTATATTGGAGCTTAAGAACAAAATGCAGAAAGAGGTCGAACTATTACCTCAGACTCTTCATCTCAGGCATCCCAAAGCCCTTTATTTCACTGATTTGTTAGCAAAATTGTGGCAATATGAAATGAATAATCAGATATGTCAATTTTTAACAAAAAGATGAATCCCTAACAATATTTGTGATATATTCTTTAAAGTTCTAATTATATGCAGGATATATTGTTAGGGTACCTACTAGCCACTAACATTAATATTTTTCTCAAAATTTACAGGAGTAGCTTATCCTAACACTAAATCTTCAGCTAGACCTAACTTAATTGACGAGGTAGACAATCAATTGCTTACTGTGCATTAAAGCAGCAAATATACACTGGAGAACTCTAGATAACACAACCTGTCATTAATTTAAAACTTTTTTTTATTCTAAAGAAAAATGGTCCTTTTCTGCCTGAAATCAAGAACCTAAATCTTTGTAAATATTTATGCATGCACAGCATTATATATGCCTGTCCATCCCAAGGCACAATTCCCCTTTAATTGCCTAAGCAGACCTGCTCAGTTAGTAAAATTATGTAAGAGTCATATATGGGTAAGTAGTACAATACGCATGAAGCATGTATATAGGTGATGCCCAAAAGACATAGGGATAATAAAAAAATCTGGTAGCATACATGCTATACTTTAAAAATAAAAAAGCTCTTAAAAAGGATACGTTTGATTTCAAGAAGTTGAAGTTGACAACACTAAAAGTATCAAATTAAAGCATTCAGTTAAATATGCTGACCTTCAGTTCAATACAATTATTACTGTACAATGCCTTGGATATTTTTTCTACCACTTAAGTTCTATGTTGTTGAGTTGACAAGCTAGAGAGAATCTGAGATTGTCTCCAACTGCTTGAACATTCAACCTACCGCTGTAATCAGTTCTCTTTCCCATTTGGATCAACTCTTTAGTAATATTAAGACTCTGCTAGTATGAATCTATATAGAAACACATTCCACTTTTGCAAGTGACCCCTAAAAGCAAAACCTCATCTTCCAAAAAGGCTGATAACAGCAAGCAAATGTTGCTACTATTTCAATATTTACATTGCTTTCAAGAAGCAAGTTCAAAATACTAGTTATATGACAGTCCTAAAGTGATCAGCCACTACCTATTTTTAAGTAGCTTCCTTCCTTATATCCTAATCAAGAGAGAACCCACTATACAGATGCATTTTGGAGACCTAAACAGAAAGGCTACTTCATGCTCATGGAACTCCTTCTACCCAGAGCTCATCTGATTTAAAAACCAGTTCAATCTTAGATTGTCCCTTTGTTGACAAGGGATAGAAAATACAAAGGTTATTAAGTTCTAACAGGAATTACATACTGTAAAATACACCCAATGCTCTAGAGAATTAGAGAACTCCTTATTAACAAAAACTACCATTATCTTTTCACTCAGATTAAGACTTCACTTTCGAATAGCTCAAGTCAAAAGGTCGGTCTGATTATACAATACAGGCCAACAAGGATAAGAAACCCTAGTCCCCTAATATCAGTAAGGAATGATACACATTGCCATGCTTAATCAGACCCAAGGTCAGTCTGCATTCTGTTCTAAATTCCTGTTCATTTACACTCAGAGAAAGCTTAAAAGCAAATTATGAAAATAACTTTCCCTTACTACATATGGTAGCACTTAAAGTACAATCATAAAACCTGTTGAAGCTTTTGATTCTTTCTAGTTTTATATTCCAAGGTGTTTGTCATATAAAGTAACAGGTTAAAACCATTGTTTTTCATTATGGGAAAGAGTTTTGTTACCTGTAAAGATTATTATGCCACACTAATGATGGGACATTTTTAGAACTCGTAAGCAAATGCACACCTATAGTCAGTAGGAAGACAAAGTGTTGAAATCTTTTTGCAACAAAAGAACTAAAGATAACATACAGAAACAAAATGGAAGGAAGAAATTTGAAACCAAATATGTCATCTAAGAATCTAAATATAACTTAAATTATAATTCTGATAGAGCAAAAAGACAGATACAGAGTCAAAGTGAAAATGGAAGTCACAGTACTGGCCAAAAATATGAGTCCATGAGTCCACTGGCCATCAATTTTAAGCACGGTAATAGCAATTCACTTCTATACTAGTTTATCATTTTAGTCAGGTTTTGTAAACACATATACTTTATTTTCATATGCATTCTTTGATCTCAGTTATACCGATAATAAATACTTTAGAAAAATCAGTCGATTGCAGAACAAAAAAAGTTGCAACAATGGCTAAGAACAATAATGATAAAACTAGGGAAATTTTGGGAAGATTAAAAGAAAGTTTCTCACCATTAAACAAAAAGTTTACTGCTAATCTCCAAGAGTGTATCCTTCAGAATATCCAGAATCTAGTTCTATACCTGTGTGGATTCAGGATAAATCAATCTAGGAAAACACAATTTCTTAAATAAACCATAATGAAGAATATGGAAATTCATTCATATTGTGCATGTCTTAGTTTTAAAGCTTGGTATCAATGCATTTCTATCAGCTATCAAAGCCTTATAGCATCTTTGGGATGTAAGATACATTAATGCACTGCATCTTGGCTAAGTCTACTTCTCATACTGATTTAATAAAGAACATTCTCTCTTCCCTCTAGTTTTCTGGGCAGCTTTCCCACATCAATGCATTTTTAATGGAGTACAACTTTAAGGAAAAAGAACCTGAAAACATCCACGAAGCGTCAATATGCCTTTCAGAGCTTAATTACAAGGATTAGTAAAAAAAAAAAGCATCACACATGCCTATCTATTACCATAAATTTACGCCGAATCGCAAACGCTCTGTGACTGCTGACCATGCAATCGGTAACTCTTCCTTTGAAAGGGCAAAACCATTTGCCCCTCCTAGGTGACTTACAGTTAAGAAAGAAAGGAATGAGTGCTATGAGAAGACATGCACCTTTCAACACAAAGAAAACATGGAAAGACACACAGCAAAAGCTTTTAACAACCAAGCCTGGATCGTACCACAGCTAGCAAAATGCTATAACAATTAAGTTCACCGGCTATCGCGGTAGCACAAAGTTCTGCTTTCCTAACGCCAAGATCCAGGCTAGGAAGCTTTGATAGCTCCCTCCTACGCTAACCTGATTTTACTAATGAGTAAACATGCAATCTATTTTACACTAGCTTTAAAATCAAGGGAAGCTTAACAATATCGAACTGACTACGGTGCGAGAACCATCCCTAGTCAGAGTTTATCTCAACTACTGATCGATTAATAACCCCCGAACTTCTCACTAAGGGCCCGTTTATTACTCGGACTCCCCTCCACCATCAAGCGAGTAGCAAGTCTTCGTAACTCAGCCCAGTCGGTTCCCTACGTCAGAAAGGCCACACACAGAAACATCGCCCGGGAGAGACGGTCGCCATTCCGACGCGTACGTTCCCTACGACGCTCACGCCTGGCGACCCCGCTTCAACTCGCCCTCCTAGCCCAATTCTAATGTTAAAAAAAAAAAATGCCCTTCACCCGGCTCGGCACCACCGTTCAGCTGCCCTGGATGTTAAGAGGCCTTTTTCCTTCGCCCCACTTTCGGCTTCTCTAGGCCACCTCCCCTCCGTGGCAAATCTCCCTCCCTCCTCTCTCCCCAGTCCTCCCGCGGTAGCCGGTGGAAAAGGGGCAGGCCCACCTCCACAAGACCCGCCAGGGCCTCCAATTAACCTCTCGCGCCGTCCCCCCCAGCCACAAGGCCGCGGTCGCCCCATCAGAAGGGATCGCTAGCCAAGCCCACTCCCTCCTCTCGCTCCCCCACTGCCAGACGAAGGCCCCGAGACCATCCTCCAGCCCTCACGTAGTCCAGCCACTGCGGTCCGAGGGAGCCACTCCCAGGGAGCCAAAACGATCCCTCGAGATGCCAGACAGCCGGCGCGGCCTAAGAGCCCCACATAGGTACCTGAGACGGCACTGGCTCCCCCCACTTCGCGGCCCTCGACTGTTTCGCACACAAACAAACTATCTCAACCAAACCCAACTCTATGCCGGAAGGCGGAGTTAGGCTGCATTCTAAACCAATGGCCGCTAGGCACCTGGGCCGCTAGAACGTGCTCTCGACCAATCGACTCACGGGAAACCGCACCCTTGCCTCATCTAGCTAATTGGAACTCCGCGAAGGGAAGGACGGGCAGCGGCTCTAGCACCAATGCAGCGAAGGAGGCGGAATGGCGAGTTAAAAAGTATCCAACCAATAGACAAGACAATTGGCGTTTTAATCGACGAGTAAACCAGCCAGTAGAAAGGTCGCCGATTCAAGAGGTTTCATAAACAACAAATAAGGTGACCTAAGAGGGCGGAGCCATCCGGCGGGGCCAACCAGTCACAGCTCGCTCTGTAGCTGATATTGCTCAATCGCAGATCACATGTCCTTCATGCCGCCTAGCGAGAGGCCGAATTGACAAAGAAGGTAGGTAGACGTGCGCCGAACTTTCTTTGCCCAATCGGAGATCACACTATCTCCGGGGGCCAATTAGAAGCCACGAGGAATTTGAATGGCACAAGGAGAAAAGTTACTTCCGGGAGTCCTGTGAACCTTGACCCCCATTGGGCCGGGCGAGGTGGAGTTCTAGGAATGGGAAATCATATGGGGGGGCGTGGCGAGGCGAGAGCCGAGTCTACCGGAGCCCCGGAAGCGTCATTGCTGAGGTCGCAAGTTCGCTGGTCTCAGCGGGACGTCCTTCTGAGTAACGCCCAAGATTCGTACAGCTAGGTAGGAGGTGCTGGACCGCAGAAAAGACGGAGGGGAGAACTAACCCCGTTCTCCCTCTTGTGAGCTACTCCTTGGTGTTCGAGGATCGGACGCCTCCTCGGCGTCCTGCGGCCCTTGAAGACGGTGGGTCAGTCCTCCGAAGAGTATAAAAAAGGGTAACCACAGCGGTAGATCCCTGGGATCAACTGGGAGGGAGAAAGCCTAGGTGCCCACGGCCCCTGCCTCATCTGAGCTCGCCCTTCCCCGCGGTCGAGAGGGAACGAAGTCGATGCGGAGCGTAATCCGCTTCTGCGGAGTGTGTCTGCGAAGGGAGCGAGATGGTAAATTAGGGGTCTTTTTCGTGTGGTTGAGATGGAGCCTTCTGTAGCCTACGGTCTTTCGGTAATGGTCAGCAGCATCGGTTCTGATACCACAAAATGAAAACCTGGAGAATACTCGATAAGATGAATGGAAGACTTTTTTTTTTTAAATTGATTTGGACATTACAGTTAAAAAAGATAAGTACAAATACAAACTAAAAGAATAAAAAGAAAAAAATAGAAAGTACATAAAAGGAAAAAAGGAAAGGAAAATAATAAAGAAAAAAATATTCCCCCTTCATCACAAATTTTAGTAATATCAGCAATTTGACATACAACAAATGCACATATAACAAATGTTCTTTTTATTTTCTATGACTCATACCTATAGACAAATCTTTAAAGTCTGTTTGTTCAGTCCTGGTCAGCCAAAGTCCATTAAGAGTTATCAGAAATAATGTATCTGTTTTAACCATGATGAAATAAACCAATTTTATTTCTTCTATGTTTTATTTTAACAGTCTTAAATCTTTAATCCCTTCAAATCTGTCAGATTTTCATTTTTTTTGTCCCTTCTCAAAATCTTTCAAACAAGATTTAACAAGAATCCTTTGTAAAACTCTTAGTGATTGTGAGCTTTCCAAGTTCTAAGGATGCAAAGGAACTCCCAAGTTATAATATACCACTGTCATGCCCCACAGTGGCTTGCTTTCTCCAGCCGAAAACCAAAATCTTCCACTGTCTGCAGAACATTGATCCAACAGCCTGTTGGATCATTCAAGTGCCCTTTGATGAGATTGATATGAATGGCAATCTGTTTTCTGGAGAAACATTTATTTCTCCTAAATAACCCTTTATGCATACCACTCTTCTTCAATGTTCCTTATTGTGGCACTTATGGTGCCATATAAGAGTGGATTGCAAACCTGTCATTACCCTAGGATTCTTTTACTGATTCTTGATGTTGCATGCATTGTTTTTTGTTGGATCGTCATTCCTGGGAAGAATGACGCTATTGCAATTTCTTCATTTATATGCTACCTACAAATTGGTGGAAAGTGGAGTTTTTGACAATTTTTTTCTAGCCCAATAAACATTCATAACCCCATTTTTGTGCTAGTGCTGTTTAGAAGGAAGGATCCTTTAAATTCAAGATGATCATGATTGGAATATTTGACATAATGTATTCTCTTAAAACAAATTACCCTAGGATTTCACATAATTTGTCAGAGAGAGAATGTGGTATTGTGGTTAAGATGCTGGAATAGGTGATGGGAAACCCAGATACTAATCCACTATTAGCCTTAGCAGGTGAGTAGTTGACTTTGGGACATTATTTCAAAGTTGTAGAATAACACATTTGGAGGTCTTGAGGACTACAGTACTGTAGAAAATGAGCTATTTAAACCAAAACTTCTTATGAATTGTCCAATAGTAGACCTACAGGCCGCACATTTTCATAGTTCAGTGGGACTCACCTTGTATCAATTTACATTTACACGTCTCCTGGACAGAATTTAGGACCTGAGATTTGCAAATAACATCCTGATCCCTGTATCTCTACTGAATCACATATTCTTGGATGTAAGAGAGTGCCATCAGACAAGCTTTGGTAAAATGTATATGCCATTTGCAGCAAAAGACAGTTATATACAGATAGACATCAATTTATGACTGGAATTAAGCCTGGAATCCTAGTTAAGGTGTTGCAGTCAGTAAGCGAGGCCTGAGGTAACTGCACCCAATTTTATGACCTTTTTTGCAGTAGTTGTTAAGCAAACGCAGACGTCATTAGGTGAATTCATTTTATCCAATGGGCGGGGTTGTTTTTTTTTTTGCCAGAAACCAAAAGTAAATGCTGGAAATCGGCAAAAAGAGAAAAAAATTGGAGCGATGTATCTGCAGGACACTACAGCTAGCCATAATTATAAACTGGTTGCCAAGTGCCCAAAATGTGATTGCATGACAGGATGTAAGTGTGTGTGTGCAAGCAGTTGTCAAAACTTCAAAATTGAGCCGTAAATATCTTTTGGAGGAGTCCTTTGCAACTTTCATCACTAAGTGGCTGATTATAAGCCAAGGACTACCTATAATTAAGTCTTTTTATGTTCCACACTAAAATCTCAATGTATACGCAGGTACAGATGGAAAACGTAGGCCAGCGATTCTCAAGACATGATCTCGGGACCCTTGGATTCCCTAAGCTCCTTTTCAAGGGGTTGCAAAGTCAAATAAAATAATTCTGGAGCTCAAATAAGATAACTCCCAAAACTCTTTGAGGTCCTCTATCATTTCTAAGTCTTTAAAAAGATCCTGAAATCAAAATGTTGCTTTAAACTGCTAGACCATTTACATTTCATCCCGCAAATCCTTAAATTTGATGAAAACAGAGGAATATCCTTGCTTTGAGGAAAAGGAAGCCAGGTGTTAAAATTGCTACTATTTAATGATTTATAAACTGATTTCACAGTAGTACTGTATTTAGAAACATTTGCCTTACAAAGAGCTAAGAAAACAAAATAATTACTTTTCTTTAAAAGATTATATTACAAAAATGTCAAGGTGCTTAGGCTAACAAATCCAGAACTTTTTTAAAAAACTAATAGCTCCATAAATATATATATATATATAAATTTCCAGTCCAACAATAAAGGGAAAGGATACCATGTTGCAAATATTGTTGTGAATAATGGTACGAATATTTCTGTATTATACTAAGCAGCGTCATGTAAGAATGTCAATTTTAATTCAAGAGGTCCTGAAATAATCAACTTTCTTAGTGAAGTCTCCATCCAGCCATACCTGGAACAATGGATATTTCATCTTTGAGTGAAGATAGTAAGAATTATGACTTAGAATGGGAACTTTCCCCCCACTGAGGAAAGTGCAGTCCTCACCATCTTAAAATACATGTTTCATTTCTACAGTAAATGAGTATTACCCTAGCATATATGCTTTTAATAAAAATAAGCATTTCAGGAAATCAAATACCAGATGGCTTTACTGAAGCCTCATAAAGATGCATCATACAACTGATCGAAAAAGTTTGTAATTTGGAGTTATTTCAAAATCAGATTTAAGTTATTGCTGCATGCCAGAGACAGGCTTTAGGTACTTCGCGTTGCCTTACTCTAAAATAAAACCCTGAATTCTGTAGGAAAGTGTTTTACTCTTAAGCAAATCTAAGTGGTCTTTAAAAATTCTCAATATGAAACTTTTACGACTATACTTCACCTCCAGATGGCATTGACTAGAAACTGATCATGATTTTGTTTAGCTACTGTTCAGACTCTTTTTTTTAAAAATCAGAACTTAGATGACATTCAACTGATGTAATTTGAACAATCCGGTTGCCTCCAAAACACGGTGACACAAAGATGTAGATATTGATATTTCCAGCTCTCCAAACCAAACCAGAAAAGTTTGCTAATGTGAATTCTCTAGCTGGGGTTATGACTCATATTTGGCTCAAGATGTATGACTGTAGATTATAAGAGAGACAATCGATATGTATTTCAAAGCTCACATATAATTTAAGCATCTATATTTGCAAGATACGTTATTTAAAGCCAAGGATGCAAGGCCAACCCATCGGAACAGACATTTGAAATGTTCCCGACTGTTCTAGGAAGACAGCATTGGAATGGCAAACCATAATTGCCAAACATAAGGCATTAATTGGCTACAAACTCAGAAAGACCATCAGCTCACTGATACAGAATAAGAAAACAGGTATACAATTCAATACTGAGTGAATAAACATTTGCCCATTTCCCCACCAAATGAGCAATTTTTTCCGAGTTTTTTCTTTCTTTAAACAACCTACTCTCCATACCAGATGTCAAAAAGAGCTTAGCGAATAGTTAGCAAGGCGTACTGTACCACCAGCTTCAGCAATCCCATCTCTTCAGGATTAGTAATCAGTGGGTTAAACTGACCAACATCGCAGATGAAAACACCATGACAGATGTTGCCAAAGTCCCTTAGCCCTTCTAATAAAAGTCCCTTCTACACTTGAAGGGAAGAGAAGCATCTACACTGTACTTGTGCCGAGATGTCAACAGCTGGAGAGTAAGCAAATACAGAATGCATTATTTTGAAGAAGTCACCAAGAAGGAAGGCATGGAACTCATGGGTGGATAAAACATGCGAAGAATGAAAGGGGTGCTTCTCAAGCAAGTTGAATCCTTGGGGCTGGTAGCTTTGGAGACCCTTCTCTCTTCACAAGGCAGTTTGGAACCAGTGAATCCTCAAACTCAGTTTAGTGCTTTAATAAAATCCTAAAGGTGTAGGCTGCGCTCCAACTGGACCTCCGGTGTTCTCTCCAGGGTTAAGTTGAAAAGTTAAGTGCAAGCAACTAGGGCTGCCCAAGGAAAAGGCATGTTGCAGAGCCTGCACTGCAGCAACTCCGTTGGCTCCAGTTCCATTTCACAAGCGGAGGTGTGGCAAAGCCTTTGTGACATCTCGAAAGAAGGGGTGATTGAGAGCAGTCTTGGCCGAGATTCTCTTGTTGGGATCATAATGCAGCATTAGCTAAAGGGGAAAGAGGAGGGTGCAAGTTTCATTACAGTCTTATGCACTATAATATATTATAGACTATAATATATAACATGCAACATAATATATATGTTGGAAGTGCTTTGTACTTCCCAACTCTCACTTCAACTATCTTGCTCAAGTTAGTGCTATGCATTACGGTCATATGGCAAGTTAAATGACAAGAAACAAAATCTAGCAACTAAAAGTGTGATTAATTTTATAGAGTTTTGTCTCCTAAAGGAATATGAACAGATAACAGTCATGACACTCAAAACTAAGACCCAAACCGTTTTTTCTTGTAGGTGGATAAAGTATGCAAAGAGCTCACAAGTTTTACACTGACTAATGGTTCAATCCTAGCACTAAGCAGACAGAAGGCATTCAATTTTAAAGCAGAACAGCAGAGGAAAACATGGAGGCAGAGCAAACCCTGAATAAGAATTTGATAAAAATACCAACATTATATATAACACAAATCGATAAGGGTGCTTTTGATTTGGCATGAGTGCCATTGCCAGTTCTGTCAGATGCTCCTTAAAGTAACTATACTAGGGGTAGGCAACCTTGGCTCTTTTATAACTCATGGACTTCAACTCCCAGAATTCCTGAGCCAGCCATGCTGGCTCAGGAATTCTGGGAGTTGAAGTCCATGAGTCATAAAAGAGTCAAGGTTGCCTACCCCTGAACTATACCTTTTCTTAGCTTGGTATGGTAATCACATGCTACAGTTCAAAATACTTTTCCCACTACATAAAACTCACTGCTAGAAGTTTTCTGCCTTCTTCATCCAGCGGCGGTACTACTTTGCTGAAGTCCTGCCGGGCCCACTTGGGGAAACTGGACTTATAGTCAGGCATAGAGGTGACTCCTGGCCACACGGTCTCATCCGGAGTGCCCAGTGTGCGGAAGATGCGAAATAGCTGGTCAATTTCTGAGTCCCCAGGGAAGAGAGCTCTACGGGTTAACTATTTGGCAGAAGAACAAAAAGTCAGAACCGTAGCATAGTAGGCTTTCCTAGCCTGATGTAATGTTTCATTGCGGTCCTTTTATTGGTGATTTTATTCTATTGTATCGGCTATTTGATATAGTTATAAAAATATTATGCAAACAGCAAGATATAAAAAAACATAATGTTCATTATGATGGCCCTTCCCTATGGAGATAAAAGCTCCATATATGAAGATACTTGGAGAAGGATTTTGCGTTAATACTGACATCATTAAGATAGACAGAAGGAATCTGGCCCATTCCTTCATTCCAATTATTCAGCAGATAAAGAACCCTCAGCACATGCTCAGTGTGTGACCCAATTCTCCATTCTTGGAGCACAAATTGCCCCTAGCAGGGAAGTAGTTTTCTCCAAAGCCCAATTCAGTCCTCAGAAGTCAACTGATCCTGTCAGCAGGCTTTAATTGACCTGACGTACTCATGTTTCACACACAGAAATGAATGAGAGTGTGTTTTACAGCAATAAAGCTCGCCTTAAGGAGCAATAACTTTTTCAGATGTTTGGAGTCTGTAATGGCATAGTTACCCACATTTGTACAATAACCTTGAGACCTTAACATCACAAGCCAAATTCTCTGGCTTCTGCCAATCAAAAGCCTTTCAGTGCCAGACTCCAGCCCAATTCGCTGCTTCATCCCATGGTCATTTCCAAAACACATACCATCTCTGCAAAGATGCATCCAAGGCTCCATATGTCCACTGCTGTTGAGTAGTATTTGCAGCCAAGGAGAATTTCTGGAGCTCGATACCAAAGAGTCACCACCTAGTGTGAAGTACAAAATCCACAATGGATGTACAATTAAATAACCAGCTAATCAGGAATGGACACTTTCCACCGGTTCTCTGCATCACACACCCTATCCTTCCATTTTTTTGTAATGCATCACATAATGCCATCAAATTAATTCAGATTAAGAGCTACTATATGGACTGCACTGGAATCACTTTTCAATAGTTCACCACATGACTCACATACAGAAGAGGCTACATTCAATTCTTGGTCCCTCCAGGGAAGAAACTGAAAGCTAGAGGCACCAATAAGGCAGCTCCAAAACTGTATCCTATTTACATACCAGAGTTTAATGAATAGGGAAATGTTTTATTAATGTTAATTACATGAGTTTACTTTATATGGTCACAGGAATATCCTCAGCATCATTTCCCAGGTTAGCCCTGGGATGGCCAAACTCAGAAATGATTTCTGAAATAGTTTTTCCTTTCCCCTTCTCTAGAAATTAAGTTCATTTAATCATTGTTGACACCAACTTTCATTTAAGTTTGGTTCGGTAAGTCCAAACTTTTAATCTCCAGAGCCCAGTTTTAAAATAGAATACGAGTATTTTCAATGGTTAGCTGTGTAAGAGAGCCAAGTATCTTTAGAATAACAGATTTTACCATATATCAAAAAACAAGTTCAGGTAGCCAGGTAGTGCTTCTTATGATGACACATTGATCCAAATAATTTTTACTATGAGCTCCCCAACTGCAACAATCATATGAGTAGATAAATTATTTCGGTCATTGTCCAATAAAATGGACGCAAGGGCTATCTGGCTATGACATCTACCACTCCATTGATCGCCAGGGTTGATCTGGCTGGCTAGGCGGCCTAGAAAATGCAGGATCTCAGTGCTGACAAGAAAGAATATTAGTAAAATATTCCAAACTTAATCATTTAGGCTTTGTTTCAATTAAATTAATAATTTTAATCAATATTTTGAACAGAGCATGGAAATGAGCCATAGCCAACAAAAATACGTAATACAAACTGTACTCTTGAGAAAGTAATACAGCAACCGCATTTCAACATAAACCTCTTTGAAAAGAGTACTTTCAGCTGGAAAGCAAATAAGTTTGTGTGAAATCTGAAAAATAAATTTGGGGCACGTGCATGAGCAGTGTGATTATTAAAGAAACTGTTTCCCTAATGTTATTCATCATTCATGAGTCTACACATATTTATACAGTATGTATGCACATAGAGTGAAAGCCAAGAAAGAAATGGATTATAAAACAAATCAATCTAGATTTTTCATTCAAGACACAAATTGATCAGGTTCATATTATATTCTGGACATATTAGAAGACTGAGCCCTCAGAAGAAGCCCGGGAAGGAAAGAGAAACAGCAAGGTCAATGGACTCAATTATAGTAGCAATGGGTACACCCTTGCAGTCAAGTAATCACAATCTGGGCAATGGGGAAACTGATAGAAAATGTTGCAAGTTGCTGGGATAAGCATCTCCCCCCCCCCTCAGCTTGCACTGGCTATTCATACACCACCTGGGTCTTGCTATATCTCCTTTGCACACCCTCACAAACCTGCGCATTCCTGTGTGCTTTCCCCGAGCTTTACAACCACATTGCTGTGATGGAAATTCCAGTCCCAATTTAAGTCAAGGATTATGTGTAGTACAGAGAATGCCAAAGTGGGGAAAAACAAATTGCTCACCTCATGCGTGTAGGTTCTCACGGGCACGCCAAATGCACGCGCTAGCCCAAAGTCAGCAAGTTTTATTGCTCCCTCTGCATTGATGAGGAGGTTCTGCGGTTTAAGATCTCGGTGGAGGACACGATGGGAATGGCAAAAGGCAAGACCCTGCAGCAGCTGGAACAGATAGCTCTAGGAAAAACATAAACATGCTTAGAATAAAATTAGGTTTTAGTTGTGCTTGGGGCCTATTGACCAAAACTAACCAGTACAGTCCTTACCAATAGCAGAGAATGTTGCATGTAACATTATTATTATGATTCTGTCTGGAATCTAATCTACCCCCTCTCTACTAAATGGTATTATTTGAAAACCTTTATTGACCAAAGCCTTGATGAGCCCTTAAGTCAGTACAGATGGTTCTCAACTTATGACAATTGAGCGCAAAATTTGTTGTTAAATGAAGAATTTGTTAAGTGAGTTTTGCCCTATGTTACGATTTTTTTTTGCCACATTTATTAAGTGAATCTCTGCAGTTATTAAATTAGTAACCTGGCTGTTAAGTGAATCTGGCTTCCCCATTAACTTTGCTTGTCAGAAGGTCTCAAAAGGTGATCACATGACTCTGGGACACTATAATTGTCATAAATATGAACCAGTTGTCAACCATCCGAATGTAAATCATGTGACCATGGGGATGCTGCAATAATTTCAAGTGTGAAAAATGGTCATAAGTCACTTTTTTCAGTGCTGATGTAACTTTGAACCCTAACCCTGGTACTGGTCCGCGGCATGCCAGCAACCGGTCCACACAAACAAGCAAAGCCCCATCCGTGGACCACGCACTCTCCGGGCTGTGAAAAAACCTTTCTCTGTGCTATAGAGAGGGCTGCAATTTGGAACGAACGTAAGAGGGCTAAATGACAGAATATAAATTAACAAATGGAATGAAAGAAAAACCAATATGCTATGGTGTTATGGATTCGGCCTGAAAGATCACAATATTGAAAAGAACTTATTTACTGAAAGGATCCTTGAGTTCTTGTGTTATAAGAGGGACTGCAAACAATAGAAAAGCAACTTTTATAAGTTGAAGGCTGTAAGGCCTTCCTTGAGACCTGATTGGCTGTCCACTGGGGAAGCTAAGCAAGTCCTTATCAGCACACCTGGGGTCAGTTCTATTGTTAAGCAAAATGGACCATTGAGGAGGGCAGCATAGCTGAGAAGGTCCATTGTTAAAGATATGGAATACTGAGGTCATCAGCTGATGGATGGATGTTGACAGTTTTGTTGCGGATTCCCTTTATCTGATGAGGCTTTTTTGCCTTTGGTTTGATGAGATTGCAAGGGGGGCTTTGTCTGGGACAGAGAGCATCACTTTGGATGTGATGAGATTAGGCAAAGAGATGAACTGGGTTTGACCCTGATCATATCCAAAAGACCTGGGGGGCATGTCTAATTCAGCATTCTGTATGCCACTTTATGAAGGACATATCTCTTAGATTTTTCAGTCTATAAAGCCACAGTCTGCCCTAAGTACAAGCCAAAATAGGCTATACTGCTGCCTCTAACTCCCATTTGGTAAGCCAAAGTAGAGGATCTTATGCTTTGTTTTACCACGTTAAAAAAAAACTAAGGAAACACCTTGAACATTTAGCAGAGCTGTATAATTTCATTTGGGTCTATATAAGATTTTAGTTAAGTCAAGAGTATTTAAGAGCAAAGACAGTCTTACTGCACACATTGTTCATTAAGAAGCTCTGTATGACCGTCTACATTTAAGTGCATGTCCACTGAAGACACAAAGCTCCCCTCAAAATCCTTGGCTTGCAGCACTTTTGCAGTTTTTTTTGTCAAGTAAAAAGAAATGTACCTAGTGTGCCTATGAACCCAGAACTAAGTTGCTTTTTTTTTTTTTGCCTACATGCTCTGCCTGGCTTACCTTGATAAGAGGTAACTCTACACCACTAATGGAAGTAGAAGAATCCATGAATTTCTTTAGATCTTGATGTAAGAACTCAAAGACCAAATAGAGTTTGTTCTCAGTATGGATTACATCCAACAATCTGGGGAGTCAAGGAAGGGATAGGAAGTAAAAGACAAACAATAACACTTGGATATTGATAAGAAAACCACAAATATTTTTTTACAAGTTCAATGCCAGAAGGTTACAAATTATATTCAAGTTGCCCATGTTTCTGAATTTAGCAGAAATAAAATAAGGAACAAGGAAGCGTGTAACTTCCAGTTTACTGTAAAACCTTTTTTGAAGCAAGTTTTCTCAGATCAGTTGCTGTCAGATACTGGCCCATAAAAATGCTTCCTCCCAATTTAACTAAAAAAGTGGCCACTGTTTACCAACCACCATAATTGTACAAAAATTATGGTGGCTGGTAAATGGCCTGAAGACCCAAAAATAGCATTCTATTTATTACTCTCCAGATCATCTCCTTCTGTCTTCCACATACTTACTTGACTATGTTGGGATGGTTCAATTCCTTTAAGAGAGAAATCTCTCGGATGGCAGTACTGGGAACTCCTTCTGTCTCCCTGAAAGCAAAGAGAAACATGAAATTAAGAAGGGAGGAGATGAAACTAGAATGAATTTAGCCAAGTAAATTGACTGTTTGAGATGCTGAGATTGAAAACTAAGCCCTAGAATTGTAAATGAAAAAGATAGTGCATAATAGATGATTACTCAATGCAAGTGGAATAATAGATTAGTAATGCAGATTAAATAGGATCTGCTGAGACGCTGTATGCAGTTTTGGCACATTTGACTGTTCTCATATCAAACTGGCCTTCTAATCTAATTCTCAGCTTTACAGGGACAAGATTTGGGAAACTCCAGAATATAAATATTCCCCAAATCATTTCCTTTTGCTCACAGGATTACTGTGAGGAAAACATTAAGGGGAAGGAAGAAAATTAAGATGTATGTATGTATGTATGTATGTATGTATGTATGTATACCACCATCAGCTTCTAGTGGATAAAAAAGGGGAGATATAAATGAAGGCAGTGCTCATGGTTTTATCATGCCCAAAGAAAACAAAGGGGAAAGGGCTTATTCAAGACTTAGTATTATTAATTGAATCCAGGATGTTAGCTGGGTATTCTACAGCACACAGAAGGAACATTTATTTGCACTACTTTTCATAGCAAAGGACATTTTAAGGTTTCGGTCACATAAGCAGCATACTTTTAACTCGAAACGTGGAAGAACATTTTTTTAGATTCATCTTTGCTCCAATCTCAACCGGCCATGCGATGAAATAATAATTCCAAAGCAAGAACTTGTAAAGCAAGCTGCCTAGCGATTCCAACCCATTGCCCCTCTTCTGGAGGGCTCTCCCAGCCCAGGGGCCTCATCCTGCATACTATCTGCATTTCGCCAGGTACCTACGTGGCGAAAGAGCTCGTGCTCTGCTCTGGGCTAAGGAGCGTTTGCAGGCAGGTAAAATTAGCACCTTTATTAAAGCAAGATAAAGAGGAGCCGCGGAGACGACGAGGTTGCGCGTCTCCTCTCTCGTCTGTCGTCTTCATAACTTTCTGAAACATTTGGACGCGGATCAAGAACAGAGAAAAGCATAACCTCCCTCCTCTGAACCAAGCCTTCACTCTAAAGGCACCCTTAATGGCGAAGGAGGAGGAGGAGGAGCCGAGCCGCCAGATTACGAGTCTCCCATTTTTTTCTCCCACACCCTTTGCTCCTCGACCACCGCTCCAAAGCTAGACTTCCTTCCAAAAGCGAAGCGAGGCTCGGGCTGAGCTTTTTCCTTCTTTAAGCGGAGATTCGATCCCTCTTCCCGCCGCGTGTATTTGGCTGTGCGTGTGAAAGCGGGGTGTTAGATGGAGGAGAGAAAGGGTCTTTCACTCACGTGTCCAAGCGGATTTTTTTAAGCGCGACCACCTCGCCGGTGATTTTGTTCTTTGCTTTGTAGACCACGCCGTAGGTGCCTTCCCCGATCTTCTCCACTTTCTGGAAGTTCTCCATCGGAGGAGACGCGGGCTGGGAAGGATCCCAGTTTGCCCCGAAAGTACTAGCCGGCACAGAGCAGGAAGGAGAGGCGGTGGTCCGCAAGAGCCAAGCAAAAGCCCGCTCCCGGAGCCGGGGCCGGGCGGCAGTGGCTGCGGTTGGGAGGGCCGCGAATGGCCGTGTGTTTCTGCTCGGCAGTTGAGTGACCGCGGCTTTTTCTGCCTTCGCTCTTCTTTTCCCGCGCGCGACGCTGAACTTCAAACAATACTAACGATTCCAGCTCCCCTCCTCCTTTCCTCCGGCTTCCCGCGTTCCATTCGCCCCGCCTTTCCTTCTACCCTATTGGCTGCGGGGTTATAGCGAAGCACGTTGTGTGGCGGGAGAGAAAGAGAAGAGGTGAAGTTTTTCTTAAAGGGCCAGCGCCGTCATTTTCGAGAAGGAGAGTTTTGGTTGTAAGGGCCCAAGTACGGATACGGCACTTGGGAAGAGGCCGATCGAATGTAGCAGAGCGTATGGACGGCAGCGGGGATCAGAGCTTCAGGTTAATTCGGATTCAAGTCGGTTTTAAAAACCAACGGAAAAAGAATCTGAGTACACACTAACACAAAGGAGAAAACCAGCTGAGCATGGGGCTTGTGTTTGCACAACGTTCTCACTAGGGCGGTGATGGCGCAATTCGAAGACTCGCTATATAAATGGTTGTGGGGACCACGGCATATGTGACCCCACTCAGATGACCTCCATTCAACCTGAACATGAAATAGGTATTAATTTTTAATAATTAAATATAGCTGAAATCTTCGCCGCATCTCACGTGGTTGGTCTTAAAACATTGCAAGATTAGGGATGAGAATGTCAAAATCTTGCATGGATTGTGATTCTAGGTTTTTTGGCATGCGTGTACACATGCTCACACTATATGTAACAATGCCAACACAAAGGGCCTTCTGTAATATTTCATAGACTATTCAGGTACTCGACAACCTTTTGTTCAACACTGAAAAAGTGACTTATTTATTTTTTTCCCCAATTTTTTTTTATTATTTTCCATCATAACAAAACAATCAAAAGCATAATAGACACAATAACAAGTAAATACCCCCCTCCCCCCCCAGACTTCTCAAACCTAATCCCAGGATAATATTCATATATGAGTAAACAAATACTAATATCCCTAACTCCACAAAATATCTTAATCTACAAAAAGGATAGAAAGAATAAACAAAATAAAAGAAAATCTAAAAACCTAAGTTATATTCTACCACTCTATGCTTCCTTTGAATATAAACAATCCATCTTCTCCATATTGATAAGAATTGTTCATTTGAATGATTCTTCAAATAAGCTGAGATCTTTGCCATTTCAGCAAGATACGAAACTTTCAATCTCCAGTCTTCCATTGTTGGCAGAATTGGGCTCTTCCAATTTTGGGCTATCAACAAACGAGCAGCAATAAAGCATCAAATTAATTTCTTTTGCATTTAAATCTTGCACAATACCTAAAAGAAACAACTGTGGAAGAAAAATAATCCTTTTTTAAAAAATTTGCTGTAGGTTCCACCACAATTGTATCCAAAAAGCCTTAATAACCTTACAAGCCCACCACATATGAAAAAAAGTTGCATCTGGATGTCCACACCTCCAACACTTGGATTCATAATTCGCGTAAATACGAGACATAGTTGAAGGATCCAAGTGCCATCTAATTTTGAGCTTGTGTAAACTTCACATTTCTCACCCAGTGAAAAAGTGACTTATGAACATGTCTCACACTTACAACCGTTGCAGCATCCATGTTGTCACATAATTAAAATTTAGACGCTTACCAACTGGCATGTATTTCTGATGGTTGCAGTGTCCCAGGGTCATGTTAAGTATATATGCCTGTATATTTCCAAAGATAGTGAACCTGGACGTATCATACTTGCTTTCACAAATAAGCCTAAGAGGCAGGTGAGATTGGCAGATAGTGCGAATGGCTGAAGATTAATAAAGTTTCATTACACCAAACATAAGCTGTTAAGTTTTCACTCTGTATAATGTTATAATAAAAAAAAAATATTCTCATAGTTTATCTCTTATCTACCATATATGCAACCTAGAAATCGTCTTTTCAATCCAGTTTTAGCAAAAAAGTCCATTAGGAATTACCAGAAATATCAAACAGTTTATCCTTGATCAAATAGTCCAACTTTATATTTATTCTTTTTTAATATAATTTTTTATTTAAAAAGTAAGTTAAAATACAAAAGTCCAAAAAGTCCAAAAATCAACAACAAAAGGAACAAAAAGAAAACACAAATCACAAAATATTTAAGATATTTTGAAAAAGTGCATTAAGAAAACAACATATAAACACCTGTTATCCCCCTAATTGAATATTGATTAATATTAATTCCCACCCATTGCAAAACAGCCCCCCCCCATTTTTTTTAAACTAGTAGATCTATTTGCAGGAAGAAAGATAATAAAAAAAAACAAGATTAAGGTTCAAAACTCTCTGTTAACAAACTGTTATCAACTTTATATTTCTTCTTTGTGCTCTGCACAATCTCTAAATCCTTCCTATAGCATTGGAAGTTTTGATCTTTCATCTCTCTTTGGTATTTAAAAGAAGTCTTCAAAACTTTCACCAGTCTACTTTGTAAATCTCATAAAGAAGCATCATCCAGGATTTCTTGTTGCAGCTGTTTCTTTTCCAGATCCTTCTTTTAATTTATCTTTTGTATTCCTAGTTTGGTAAATTCAGTTTTGCTGTCTTCCATGACTTTAAACACTATAATGACTATGTCAATTAAAGTTTTTCTTAAATCTTTCTCATCTTCTAAAAGTTTACCATTGAAATCTGTATCCTTTCTGCGATATTACGGTAACTGTTAACATTTTAGCCCATGCAAAAAAAAAAACACTTTAAGAAAAAAATTATAGCCAGTTTATCTATTTTAATACTTTTTTTGCCTGGTCCTTTGCTTGCATCTAGTGACCATTTGCAAACTTCATCAAGCCTCAATTCCTAATATGGATTTGGTTCTGTTTTAGTCATTTCCCACAAGTGTGCTATTTAATTACATACTTTTTTTAAATTATACAACAAAAATAACTGATATTCCAAATCTCTCTGGTTTCCTAATCCAATTAAAATTTTCTTAAACAAAAATCCTTTTTTTCCTGCTTTTTTGCCAGTTTTATATTATTTACATTTTTGAGTCTCTCTTTAAAAATTTTTAAATCTGAAGAAAATAAAACTCACTGGGTATCAAATTAAGCTCGCCATTTTGAAGATGTCTAATATTTATAAATTGGTTAAATCGAACATTTCCAAAAGTGATTAACAAGTGAGTTTGACTGGCTTGATATCCTTATGAAAGCCTCCACTGCTGCTGAGAGCAAAGTTGTCATACCCTTGGCTCTTGGCACTTAAACCCATGAGAGACTACTATGCTTTGTTGTCCTTGTGAGGAGTTCATGGGACAGGGTCCCCAACCCCTGGTCCATGGACCAGTACTGGGCTGCGGCATGCCAGCAACTGGTCCACACAAACTAGCAAAGCCCCATCCGTGGGATGCAGGCAGCACACAAAACCATGCACCCTCTGTTCCGCAGAAAAACCTCTCTCCACAGAACTGGTCCCTAGTGCCCAAAAGGTTGGGGACCTCTGTCATGGGAGATCTCCCAAACACTCTTTCTGAAAAATTTGAACAGTTAATCTATCCACTGGTCTTTTATTCTGCACAACCATTGTCTCTGCTTAGTTACCTAGATGTCTTCAGTCAGCCCTGGCTCACCATCATATTCTTATGAGCCTCGAAATAGCCACAAGTCCTTGATTTCTTAGACCGATGAAAATCCAGCAGTGTGGCAATATCTAGCTCAATGATGGCGAATCTTTTAGAGACCGAGTGCCCAAACCACAACCCAAAACCCACTTATTTATCGCAAAGTGCCAGGGCCGCATCAGCATTGTGGTGCCCTCAGGGGGGAGCATGGGGGCATGGCCCACTGGATGGGTGTGGCCCACTGGGTGGGCATGGCTGTGGTTGTCACGGCAGACTGGGTGGGCATGGCTGGGGTGGGCATGGCCACCTCGATGTTGCTCATGGGGGGACACCTGTGGGGGCCGGGCAGGGTTCGGGGAGATCCAGGGGGTCTCTGGCGGGTGGGGTGGTGGGCAGGAGGTCCAACATAGATGGGGGGAGGCACGCAATCCTAGCTGGAACTGGGGGGGCCATGGCACCGATGGGGATCCAGCTTTCCTTGCTCAGGGTGGCCTTTGGCTTGCTGGGTGTGGGCACTTGGTAGCTGGCCACCTTGCCTCATTTATGCTGGGTGGGGCTGCTGCTCCAGGCAGCGGTGGCCTAATGGACCTGTGCAAGCTGCTGGCAGCGGCAGCGCGCATGCCCACGCATGCCAAAGATTCGCCACCACTGATCTAACTGATGTTTGCTAATCCTAAAACGTTAACAAGGGTCAGACCTGAGTTATAGTTGGACTGGAGTGTCTTGGGAAATTGCACGGCATTAGGCTAGATTAGGAAGGGTTTTTTTAAAGTATCCTGGAAGAAGACAATAGCAAATCACTTCTTTATTGTTATCAATAATTCCTGGACAGACACATCTGTAATGTTGCTAAAGAATCAAGTTCAACTTGAAGGGCTTAACTGGAAGTCTTTGCTTTTCCATCAGTTACTACTCTGAGTTCTTTAGCTGCTAGATATACTTTGCTTAAGCTCCATTGTCTTACATCTGAACCTGGAAAAGGCCCAGAGAAGTAACCAAGACCTGTGGGGGGGTGGGGTTGTGCCCTGTAATCTCTCCCTGATGAGGCCCTTTAATGAAGTTGAATAACTAGTCATTTGGCTCTTTCTTGTTATCTCTTCCAACTTCCTCCTCTGCTGTGAAGCACCTCAGTGTTCAAGCATCGCCCATCCCCTACCCTGGCATTCCAGCTATGGGATTAAAAAAGGGGGCCTCCTTGTGTTGGCCACAATGCAAACTTGTGACCGGATCACACAGCCAATGTTCTCCCCTTCCCCCATCTCAGTTATTAGAAAGAGGAGGGGGGAAGCCCAGTGCTGGAAAGAAAGCAATGTCTTCATGCTCCAAAGAGAGGTGGGTATATGCAAATGAGCTCCCTTTTTAATAGCGGGAGGGTCTTCCTTGCCTTCTTTTGCCATCAACTGTTCAAGAGACTACAAAGAACTCAAGATTTGAAAATGTCCCGGACCTGGTTCCTATGGGCTGCTATTTGGGCTCTCCTGGCTACTACCACAGCTCAGCGCAGTAAGTGGAACCCCATTTTCTCCTACAGATCAGGTTTATTTCACCCACAGAAGTTTGCCCCACCATAAATTATAATCTTGTGCGTCAGTATATTTCCAAATATCAGACTGAGCTATACCTAGCTCTGCTGTCAGGTAGCCTCTATTAATTTCACCTATGCACAAGGTATGACCTTCTTAATATTCTCTATGTTGGACTTGCTGTTCAGAAATATTCACAGCTCAAGAGACTTAACAGCTGTTCCTTTACTGTGTTGTTATCAGCATTACAAGGTAAGTTCAGGTATCTTAGCACAGGAATAAAAGGAACACAAATCCTTACAGTAGAGTTAAGCCTTCAACTGTTATAAATATTAATGTTGAGGCATATAGGCACATTATTGAATAAAGAACCTCTCTTATTATGCATAGATGCCTTAAAAACATTTTTGCATGCAGATGTCCATTGTTTTTCAAACTTTCCTTTTTAACCAAAAATCTCAGGAAAATATGATTGTATATTAAATTAAAGATGAAATATGATTTCTTTTATATAATATATGTTGCATGCACACACAATGCATGTGCATCTACAGACCAAACTAGATTTGATTCCTTTCATAGGTGCTAATGTATGAATGGCAGTGGTAGATTTTGCAGAAGGAACAGTGAGCAAATACGACATGCAGTGAGTGACAGTGAATGGAGAATTCAAACTGATTCCTTGGGACATAGATCTAACTTAGAAAACAGTTTTAATTTTAGAGGGCAAGCTTGGAGGGGAAAAACTATTGGCATCAAAAGAAAGACTAATTTGCTCTAGTTATAAATTTTGGATCAGTTCTAGAATATTCAGAATTCTTATAAAATGTTTTTGGGGAGTAGTTCACCTCTATTCAGCTCATTACGGTGTGAGAAAAGTAATGATGCTTCTTTGCCAGTCCAAAGCTGCCTTTGGAGCTTTGGTTTAATTTAATAGTTATGTTACCTACTCATTCATGCACGCACACGCACACACACACACACAACTCTTGCAAAGCCAAACCTCGTGGTGATCTGGATTTTTCTCTAGGCAGACAAGACTCACTAATCCTCTTGCTGGTGTTTGCGGTTTGGGATATGGAATGTGTGTGCCTAATTTGCTAAAGACTGATAGTGGAGAGTCTCACCCTGTTCAGTCAGATCCAATTCTTAGTCACCCCGATTGTGTTAAAGTGGGTGTGTGGGAGGACCTTCCATTTCAAATCTTAATAGCCTTTTAACGTCCAGCTACTGGTTGTGGTTGTGTATCCTTTGTTCTTTGTGAGTTCTCCTTTCTTTCCTCAGGGAAGTTTCCAGACATGAATCTTTCATAGCAACTTCACTAAGAATTGGCAGTGTTTAGTGGATATGACTCTGAGGAGGAGGAAAAGGGCCACTATTTTGTATTATAACATCTATTTTAAATGCAGCAAATCCCAAATTCAGGTCATCCCAGGATATCCCCAAGTAAAGGGTAAAGGTTTTGAATTTTCTAAGTGGCTTACTGTTGCTGTCCTCAAGGTTATTTTTTGTCTTTCAAACCTAATTTTTAGCCCTAAAAATTACCGTTTCTTGGTGACCTTGCATCCAAGTACTACTTGGGTACGACCTTGGCTATTTCTCAAGGCTGAAGAAAGTCAAACAGATGCTGGTAACTGCTGAAACATCTTCAGAGAGGTGGGCAAAAATTCTTCACTGAATGCTGGGGAGAATTTACCTTCCCCAACCTGATATTTTCCAGATCTGATAGGCCTCAACCCCAATAATTCCCAGCCAGAACTGAAGTACAGCCCTTCTCAGCAGGTAGGGAAGATCAGTGTAGACAGTGCCGAATGAAATGGCTGACTAGGTGTAAGGCAGCCTTTCATTTAATCTGGGATTGTTTTTGCACTGTGTTCTTCTCTCCATTGCTTCTCTTTTTACCTTGACTCGGGAGATCTGAAAGTGGGAGTCTTGTTTTGTTTTTAAAGAGAAGTGTCTTGGAGCGGCCTATGTAACTAATGGTAAAATCCTGGAAAACCAACCTATCTTCTCACGTTTAGCAAATGCTGTTTTTTCTTTTCTCATTCACAGTTTCCTATGTACTTCCTCTGCTTCCCACAAGTAGCTTGGAACACCCTTCCCTAGGCTATCTCTCCCCACTGCCAGTGATGTGGCTAAGCACTCAAGACTTTCTTTTATTCTGCCGAAGGTGCAGACAGCATGTGACAGATCAGCCCACCCCAGTGCTGGGGGGCTCATATCACATGGGTCTTGGCGGCCTCTATTCAAGCTCTTTCATGTGACTCTCAGCTGAGGCAGGCCTGTGTAGCCACTGTGTAGTAAGGAAGGTTAGCCACTACAGGTCTAAAGCTTGCCTAATCCCACCTCTGTCCCTCTTCCTCCTTCCACTAGAGGCTGATTCATACAACCACAGGGGCAAGAACAGCTTCTTTTAGGTGATATGGGTGTAGCACTATACAGCTCTCAAGCCTTAGCTGCTGCTCCAGAAGACTTCTGAAGATTGCCTTCAAATTATAATATGTATTGTTATTTTTTGTTTATTTATCAAATTTCAGTACCACCCATCTCACTCTCAGAGTTACAGAAGGAATCTATTTACATTTAGAAGATTTAAATGTATTAAAATTAATATCGGTTAAATATTGTTTGGCCAAACTATTCAAAGACCAACTATAACTTCCTAGTTCTGAACTTCTGAAGGTTTGCCTGTGCTACCTTCGCTGCAATCGTCCCTTCTGTGATGCTGTTATTTTTTTTAATAATATCTTTATTAAGTTTTAACATTATACACTAAAATGCAAACTACCGTAACATAAAAGGCAATGGGAAGGATAAAAAAAATAAAGTGACAAAAAAGTACTTCAAACTAATATAACAAAAGTGACCTCCAACTTTCTTTTAGTACAGAGGTATTAACAATACAACCACCTCTCTAAGTTTAAAGAAAAAAACCCACCATATATTATAGTCTACATACTAAAAGCCAGTAGTTATTAAATGTTCATCTCTTTAATTTCATCTAAAAGATAATAAGTTATCAAATATAAATAACCTTATATTTAAAAAGCTGCAATATTTAGTCCATTCTCATTGTCAGAATCCAAAGTCAAAAGCTGACTTTTCTCTTTATCCTGTAAGAAATCTATCAAAGCCTCCAAGTTGCATGAAATTTAATTGAATTATTGTCTCTGAGTAAATAATCAATTTCACTACCTCAGCTAGCTCCATTAACCCCTCTATGCCGCTGTTCAAGATGAGACCCTTGATCCTATTGTGTTACTTTGTGGTGCTATTTTATGTCACTTTTCTTCTTTAAGTGAAAAATATGGAAAACAGTAAAATAACCGGACAAATATTACCACTGAAGATTGGTCTGATGTGTCTTGCATAGTTCCTAAAATCCAGAGTGTAGCTTTCCAGCCTATCCAAATACTTTCACATCTGAACAGGCTCAGCCTGACACACGGGGGTGGGGATGTCAAGATGCCAGAAAGGATTTAATCAATGAGCAGAAAACATCAGAACATCCCTTCGCTGTCCATCCAACTCAGAATTGCCTTTAATCAGTCTATAAAATATGTTTTGTACAACTATAATCCATTTATTTAAACATACACGTTCATTTACTTATTCAGAAGCAGGTTTTGGCAGAATTAAGGTAACATATGGTTGCTATACATCCAGCAATAAAAGATAAAAGTGACTGGGGGTGACTTTTAGAGATACCATGGGCCTAACTTTATCTCTGACATATTAGAAACTATGAGACGGTAAAAAGACTAAAGCAGGAGTATGTCTGGAAGAGGAGGGCTGTCAAAAAAAAATTCAAGAGGACATGTCAGGTACAAAGAATCAGGACCATGTGTTACCTTGCAGTTCAGAAGATTTATTGCTTAAGCCTATACACAAGAATTTAGTTAACTAAAGTTCAGTACTAAATTGGCACCAGAAAAAAGTTCAACAGAATTCAAGAAAGATTGGACCCAGACCAGGGGTAGGCAACCTTGGCTTTTTTATGACTTGTGGACTTCAAGTCCCAGAATTCCTGAGCCAGCCATGCTGGCTCAGGAATTCTGGGACTTGAAGTCCACAAGTCATAAAAAAGCCAAGGTTGCCTACCCCTGACTTAGACCATTTGTGGGAACATAATGACTATAGGCTGATGACCTGTTTAACTCTGCCCCCCCCCCCCCCAGCTTTGCCTGTTCTTGTACAGGACCATTGCAATTATACAATTAAAGCTGCCTCCTTTTCTATATGCTACACATGGGGAGAGTACATACGTGTCTGCCCTCTGGACTTTTTTAACCACTACCCTCCCCCCAGTGAATGCCCCCAGGACTGAAATAGATCTTTTTCTTCTAGGGTTCAGTGGCCGGAACAACAGATGGGGACAAAACGGGAGCGGGAGATACTCTGCGTACAAGACTTGGAACTCCAGCCTTTACCCCCGATGGAGAGAAGGAGATCCCAGGCAGGGAAATTGCTGGCGAGGTATGAGATAAGTTTGAAGCAAGTACAGTAGGCCTGAACACGAAGGGGAAACAATCAGTTGAGGCTTCTAGGCCTCAGTGTTGGTGGTTAGGGTGACCATGGACTCTACTTGCAGTCATTCTTCGGGAAGTCTGTCAAAGGATCATCTCTGTGGGGAAGCATCCTCTGCCTGGCCTAAATTCCACTTAACCATAAAGAACTCTTAGCATCTTTGCATCTGGAAAGCAATTTGTCACTTGGTCACCCAATCTCCTTATTGAGATGCACTTTTCCTGCAGTTATCAACTTGCTAGCAAATTTGCTTCTGTGGGGTCCTTGAGAGCAAACCCCACTTCCTTCCAGCCCTGATGATGTTGCCTGGTTGGGTAATTCAACATCTGTAAAAAAACAACAACCAAGCTCAGAGAGCATCTAGGACTCCACAGTTCATCCCTGAGCTACAAATATTCTCTTCTATTGAAATGTCCTTCTCTTCTTTTTAAGTTGTTGCTGGCGCACTTTTTTTCAAGCCTGTGCCCTCTTTTATCCTCAATAGCAGAGATATGGAAGTGTAGTGCCAGCGGTGGCATAGATCAGAAATTTTGGACACCTTTTTTTCTTTCTTTCTAGGTGGCAATGTGACAGTTGATATCAGCAACGATGCCCCAACTTTAACAAGTGCCAAAATAACATTCGGGATTGCTTTGCGCTTTCCCAGGAATCAAACTGTGCTGCCAGATGGACGTGTAGTATGGAGCCAGAACTGCATCATAAACGGTAAACCGCAAACATTGAAATTGGATATTCCTGCAGGAAAGCTGTGATTTCAACTGAGGTCTTACTGACCATATCTTTCTTCATTTTTTCATCCCATTCTCCTTTGCAGGCACCCGTATGAGAAAAGGGGATCCTGTTTTCCCAGATCAGGAGGATGATACTTCCGATTATGTGTTTCCTGATGGACATCCCTTCTCCCCAAGCGATCGCCGGCCTGGCAAGTTTGTTTTTGTCTGGCAGACATGGGGTAAGTTGTTGCTTGGACACTTGGCGGGAGGATCCCGTGCATTTCAGTCATTTTCTTTTTCATTACAGGTAATCCTTGACTTATGACCACAATTGAGCTCAAAGTTTTTGTTGCTAAGCAAGACAGTTGTTAAGTGAGTTTTGCCCCATTTTATGACCTTTCTTGCCACATTTGTTAAGTGAGTCATTGCGGCTGTTAAGTTAGTAACACGGTTGTTAAGTAAATCTGGTTTCCCCATTGACTTTCTCAGAAAGTCGTAAAAAGCTATCACATGACCCCGGGACACCACAGCTATGATAAATATGAGTCAGTTGCCAAGCATCTGAATTTTGACCATGTGACCATGAGGATGTTGCAACAGTCTTGTGAAAAACTGTCTTAGGTCACATTTTGCAGTGCTTTTGTAACTTTTAACAGTCACTAAGCCAACGGTTGTAAGTTGAGGACCTGTACTTCAGCCTAGCAACCTATACAGTGTCTGAATCCATACATTGTTCTAAACCATAAGGTGGTTTGTGTGTTACTCATTATAAATGCTTATTTATATTTCTTTAAAATATTTTTATACTGCTTGTTATGCTAATGATATTCAGGTGGGGAACATCAACAGAATACATGAGTAGATATAAAAGTCGGCAAATCAGAAAGAAAAATAAAATAGTGATTTATATTTAAGCACATAAAAGGTATGAACCCACCATCGTGAGTCCTCAAACAGTACCATTGTGAAATGGCATATGCCATAGAGACTGAACATGTTTCAGGACATGCATAAAATTGAAACAAAACTGGCACATGATAAGGAGAAAGCGTTCCATAGCAGGAAAGGCCCTTTCTTAGTTGACATAAAAGAAAAATCCACATGTTGTGGCACAATCTTCACTGGGACTGGGCAGATTTAACTGTGAAGGTATGCCTTGTTGTGTTGGACAGCACATAAATAGATAGAGCTGCTGTAGAAAATGATTTCCTTTAAAATTTTCCTGAACACTTAAAAATAGTGTTTTACATTAAAAAAAGCATATAGAGAAAGATAACCTCCCTTTGAAGATTACGGTACTTCCTAATTACAGGTAGCCATGTTTAGTGACTGCCTCAGATAAGGACCATTCACAAATACAACAGTAATAAAAATGCATAGTGAAATTGATTAAGGTCTTGTCAGTTTCAGGCAACAGCCTTGGAGCGTTGGAATCAACTAATAAAGGTCACAGATGAACTTGTTAATCTTCAGTTAGCACTTTTTAGGGAAGTGCTATTATATGGAGAAAAGGCAGGTCAGGAAGAGATAGATTGTTTAAGCAACATCTCTCTCTGTCAGAGAGCAAAAGAAAAAAGAAAAAAAACAGGTTGCCATAGAAGAGAATTTTATCTGAATAAGAAGCAGCAACTAGTGACTTTTGCAGGATCTCTGTCTCTCTCTCTCTGTCTCTCTCTGTCTCTCTGTGTCTCTCTCTCTCTCACACACACACACACACACACAAATTCACTTAGTGACAATTTCACTTAATGACCGAGTGGTCAGAATCCATTGCAGTCACTAAATGAGGACCATCTGTATTTGCATGATTTAGTTTTGAGATACGAGTTTTATTACATAATTAGTATGATTAAGATTGTTTCTTTTCTGGACAGCTTGTAGATGAAGATGATGGATGGATGGATGGATGGATGGATGGATGGATGGATGGATGGATGGATGGATGGATGGATAGATAGATAGATAGATAGATAGATAGATAGATAGATAGATAGATAGATAGATAGATAGATAGATAGATAGATAGACTGACAGACACATAGATATATAACTTTCAGAGGCTAATACAAAAATAATGTCCTGCTAAAGTACTGCTTATTTATACAGCACTTGAAAACACAAGATCTCTGTTAGAAACCATATTTAATAAGCTGCCTAATCTATGGGGACTGTTAAGTGTCTTATTCCATTATTTTACATTTCTATTTTATTTGTTGAAGTTCTTATATTCCTGCATAATCCTGAACTGAAAAGGGGACTCATTATTACCATTATTACCAAGCTTTAACTAACTTCCCCAGGCTTCTCAAACAAAACGATGGCCAATAGACCTGCAGAGAACTGTGGGAGCAGCCACATCTGGAAAGCATTCACTTCTGAGCTAAATTGCACCAGGAGGAAGGACAGTTTCCCTCTCAACTTAGGAAGTGGCATGATAGGCCTGCTATCTTCATCGCTGGCATTTCTCCCATATTCTTTTTCTTCCTACAGGGCGATATTGGCAAGTGGTAGGTGGTCCCACCTCCTCATTGACTATTGAAACAGCTAATGTAGCTTTGGGCTCCTATACCATGAATGTGGCAGTCTATCATTACCGGGGACGTGAGAAATTCATCCCTATTGGTGGTACTTCCTCACAGTTCAGCATCACAGGTAAACATTAATGGTGGACACGGCTGGGGACAGTACTTGATAAATCTAGAGATTTTGTGACATTATCTCCTGCCTTCTGCACTTAGCCATCCAAAAGATATCCAAAGGTCCCATAATAAAAGCTAGAAAGGCTAGGTTGCCTTGTACACTAATTCCAGCTATCTTTTGGTTAACAAAAAGAAGCTGCTGGACTGATAAGAAGACAGTTAGTTGTGGAGTAACCAAATTGGATTCCTGAGAGGAATGGAGTAAATTTGCTTCAGAAAAGCTTCCGCACTAATGATGTTACCTTGTCTGGGAATGAAATGTCTGCAAGAAAACAACTAAGCTTGGAGAGCACCAAGGACCCCACAAGCTGCTCATTTTCTCCAAATTAAGTTTGTTGATTTTCTGTTTTCTTTCACAGACCAGATCCCGTTCCAAGTGAACATTGCACAACTTCTTGATACCGATGGGACAGATAGTCGTTTTGTGCGAAACCGAGCCATCTCCTTTGCTGTGCAGCTCCATGATCCTAGTCAATACCTCCATGAGGCTGACATCTCCTACTCCTGGGATTTTGGTGACCAAAGCGGGACCCTGATTTCTCGGGCAACCATGGTCACTCACACCTACCTTTCTGCTGGTACCTTCAGCCCTCGTGTGGTGGTTCAGGCTGCCATTCCTGTGGCCTCATGTGGAGGCAGTACTTCAGAAGACCCATTCGTCATGCCCACAACCCTCAGGCCCACCACCACTCTGAGTGGAACAACTGTTCAAGCTTCCAGTGTGTTTTCCACCATAAATAGCATTACTGGGGCAAGCACTGAAGAGGATCTGACTTCTGGTAAGTATTCATCTGCTTAGCTGATTTTAGCCAGTATCCCATCTGTTGTCAGATACTGTATTTCAAACTCAGGTTCTCTATCGAGATTACATGTACTTTTCAAATAAATTGGGATTACAGCTAAGGAGTTGGCATAATTTATTTTGTATCTAGAATGAATGTTCATATCCAGGGTAGAAGTATTGATAATTAAGAGCTTTTAAGAGGAAGTGGAACAACATTGTACTATAGCAGTAGAAAACTGAACAGTGTTTTCCAACCTCTTCTAGAAAAAAATAGGATGCAAAGGGGCCCCCAGCTGATTACCTAAAAGACAATTATCCATCTTTTCTAATCTTTAAAACCATTAAGGACCTTTTTTCTCTCACTCTCATTTCACACTGGGTGATGAGTCCACAACAAGAATGCGCAGTAGCCGAATGAATCCTCAACAATCTTTCCCAATCATGGAAATGTATTAGTCTACAGTTCCCACCACTTTCAACTTTAGTGATCTTGAGAGTTGAGGGTGATAAGGAATTGTAGTTGTAAACCTGTAGTCTGGAGGATGCAGAAGTTGAGGGATGCTTGCTTGCTTGCTTGCTTATTTGTTTGTTTGTTGTTTACCTGCCCATCTCACTATCAAATGACTCTGGGCAGGTTATAATGTCCTAAATAGAAGAATAAAACATAGACGATTGAAATTGTTAAAAAAAAAGTTGGGCATTAACAGTAAACACATTAACAACAAACAGGATAAAAAGGACCAATAGGTAAATGGGGTGGAGGTGGGATTCCTTAGAATCCTTTCCAAGGGCAGCTGAGATTTAGGGAAGCTTCTTAAAGTAAATAAGAAAACCTGGAAATACAAAATGTTCCTGAGGTGAAAAAGAGTTTATTCCGCTCCTAGATTTTTTCCAAATGTGGATAATTTCTCACTTTGATCACACTAGAACACTATTCAAGCATTTTCATAACAAGAATGTCAAGAAGACCTTAAGAGTTTATGTGAGGGGTATCCAACCTTGGCAACTTTAAGACCTGTGGACTTCAACTCCCAGAATTCCCCAGACAGCCATATTTAGTTGAAGTCCACAAGTCTTAGGGTTGCCATGATTGGACATCCTGGTCTATATTTTGGTTTTAAATCTTGAATCCACAAAGCTGCTTCTGAATTTTTCTGGAGTATATATTTTACCAGGCAAAAACTATCCTTGATATTTCATATTCTGGGTGGCACACATATTCCTTAGCAGCCTACCTGTATTGGACTCCCTTCAGGCTGCATAAATCAAAGCCTGACAGATCTTGAGAACATCCATTTGGGAAAGGTGATTCCAGGTTCATGAAACGATCCTATTGCCAAACTTATTCCATCAACAACCAGCCTATGCTAAACTGAAAGGTGAAAAGGAAAAGGGAAGAGAAGTGAAGTGAAGTGAAAGGGAAGATTTATATAAAATTATAAAATGCAGGATTCATGCCAGCCCTTAATGGAACATGTTATGAATTATAGCAGCAGGATTGGGTTTTCTAGTAGGATAGAAATTAAGTAGGATAGTAGGATAGTAGGATAGTAGGATAGTAGGATAGTAGGATAGTAGGATAGTAGGATAGAAATTAAGTTTAGTACCTTTCCTGTGTAATCTCTCATTCTCTCTTTCTTCTATCCCACCCATATTTTGCATCTTTAGTCCCAGCTTCTGCGACGTCAGTCCTTTCCACTGTATCGTCAGCAGTAACTGAAGGGGCAACGTCTATAGCCACAGTTCCTGCCACAAATGTAAGTGCTGGGCCTGAAGGAGCGGATTTAGCGGCTGCTTCTGTGGAACCTGCAGTTGTTGCATCATCCGAGGCAACTGAAGATAGCGCAGACACTGAGGCTATAACCATTGCCGTGTCTGCATCTCTCCCAAATACCATGGCACTGGCATCTACCGCAGCATCTGAATCTCCACCAGGCTCTGTTGCTCCAGGTTCTTCATCTACAATAGTACCTGAGAATGACCCAGGAACACCGGAACCAACTGTTTTGTCCCCCATTGCATCTACAACTATCTTTTCAGGTATTCAACATTTTTTAAATCACAGCTAGTGTCTCTGGCAGCAGATAGGCCTAGCAGGAGATTCCTCACACTTCTGAGAATAGTCCGCTACTTTGGGCTGTGCTTTCTATCTTTATCTGCATGTGAAGGGAAAAGTTACAGAATGGCCAGAGAATCCCAGTTGTGGCTCACCATAGGAAGTTTTAGAAGCCAAGAATGGAAAACTGTTTGTAGGGAAAGTATGGTGGGCAAATGATCTGACGACACGATAGTATTTCTTCCCTTGACTGTCCTATTATTGCCTTCCCCAACTTGTCCCCATCTAATGCTAGGACTGCACATTCAGTTTCTTTAAACTGTAATGCCTTTGAAAGAATCAGGTTAGTGATGAGTCCAGATGTTTCATCAGAATGGCAAAACCCTTCCAAGACCGAGTGGCTGTGGCTGCCGGCGCCTCGGCATAGTCAGCTGACTCCATCGCTGACTATAGGGGGCGAAATCTTGGCTCCCTCGGAGAGGGTACGCAATCTGGGGGTCCTCCTGGATCCACGGCTGACACTGGAAGACCAGCTGTTGGCCGTGACAAGGGGGGCGTTTTATCAGGTACGCCTGATCCACCAGTTGCGGCCTTTCCTGGACCGGGACGCCTTGCGCACAGTCACCCATGCTCTCGTCACCTCCCGCCTGGACTACTGTAACGCTCTCTACATGGGGCTCCCCTTGAGGAGCACTCGGAGGCTTCAACTGGTCCAGAATGCGGCCGCGCGGGCGGTGTTGGGAGGGA